AAACACCATAATAACAATAGCCAAAAAACAACAGTACATTTAATTCATTGAAAAACCCATTTATCGAGATTAATAAGCGAAGAAAAAAAGAAGCGTTAATAGAATCATTTGGATTCAAGAGACCAGAGTGGAATTCAAGTTAAGAAAAAAGAAGGAAAGGAAAGGACCGTAAAGTATGGCATTTTTTATGAAGCATCAGACAGTGGAATAGCAGTATGCTTATAGGTTTGGTATTTATTTGCTGCTGCTAATTTGTTCGTAGAGACGTATTATGTTGGGTCGTCAGCAGTACCTATTGTAGGAATTCAAAACTATCAAACAGTATCAAAGCCAACTGATACAACAGATTATTCCTTTTTTTTTTGATGTACAACTTTTTAACTACTTTTTAATAATCAATTTTTAATTTGACCAGTATTTCTGTTTATTATATTTTGGTTTTTTTTGAATTGTAAATTCAATCTTTTTTTTGATGCATAATATTTTAATTGTTATTTTGGTTGTTACTTTTGATTTTTTAGACGTTAACAGTTTTTTCTTTTTTTTTTCTTGCAGAATTTCTAAGTATTGTTTGTTGATAATATACTTGTATGTTTTCTGAGTTGTTTTTTTTCTTTGCTAACTGATTAGTCTTAGAGACAGACTTGATTGCCGTCAAGTTGACAGAAGAACAAATTGTTTTAAGACGGCAATAAGATTTCTGATTGAATCCTAACAATTTTTCGACAATTTCAACGGATTGCTACAACGCCGTCGTCACAGTTTAATCTTTATCGTCATATCGTCGCCATTTTAAAATATTATGAACGAAATACATAGAAAATAAAAAGCATAACTTTCCTTTTACAGGAAGGGGAAATCTAAATTTTTTTCTCTAAACTTCTTATCAAGTGATAATAAAATGATAACAATTGTAAAAAAAGAGAAAGTGAAAGAAAAAAAACGGAAAAAGAAAGGAGAAGAAGAAGAAGAAAAAGTTGAAACCAAACTGCTTTAGAAAAGCTGCATTAAAAAGAGGAAATAAAACCAGTTTTTTTTTACTTTTGTGATTTGTTTTCACCATTTAAATTTAAAGTTTTCAACAATTACTGTAAATTTTCTTGAATTTGTATAAAGTTTTAAAGACTTTCTTTAATGTTTGTTCATAGTTCTACCTGCACTTAGTGTAGGTTAAAGTCAACAGAAAAAGAGAAAGAAATGATTGAATGTTCTTGTACCACCATAAAATTTTTAGTTTTGAATAATTGGTAATTACAGTGAGAAAAGAAAGCTTTTTGTTAAGGGAAATGATAAAAGTTAAACTTATGAGTAATCATTTATTTGCTGCAGTTTATTTATTATCATTTCAGTTCTTTATATGTATTGAAGCAGTAAGTAAGACATTATCTATAATACTGCTGTTGCCACTGTTGCTGCTGCTGCTGCTGAAGGTCAAATAGTGTAGCTGTCGACATTTGACTTCCAAATGTTGCTGCAGATGCATGTGATTCCACCTGACATGCATCTGCTCCTCGTTCCAATCGAAAATGTCCACGGTATCCCCAACTAAAATGATGTAAGCTGTCTACTGACTGCCCTTGATTAACAAATGATGACTCTCCAATTAGTAACAGTTTTTGCAAAAGCTTTAACTGCTTCTATTAAAAAACTTTATGTAACTGTCTGATAAAACAGTTTAAACAACAAAAACAGCAGTAATGACGAAGTTGAAGTTTTATAGGTCAACGTAATTACAATTTACCTTAGGCCATAACTATTTCTTAAGATCCAATATTTGATACCATTCTCTTCACCGTAGCCTACAATTAGAACAGCATGTGCAGGTTGTTGGTGTTTGCTTTGCTCACATTCGTAGGCACGAATGATTCTGAATCCACTGTATGTGTACATAGAATATGGCCAAACAACATCTTCAATATAATGATTAAGCTATAGAAAAGCTAGGTACTGCTTTTTTTTTTTTTTGCTGAACAG